GAGGAGGAGGAGGAGGAGGAGGAGGAGGAGGAGGAGGAGGGGAGGGGTGCAGACCGACAGTCTAGTTTTCTAATCATTGAGACCTGCCCCCGTGCCCATCAGCTCCTCTTGTTAAGTTCCTTTAAGCTACGTCACAGCCCTTCTCCCCTTTCCCTGCTTTAAAGGACCCACCACACATGTCACTGGTCCCTAAATTTAGGGAGACCTCCATGTCATAAGCATGTAGCTCACAAACAGCTTGTAGAAATACTTAATGGGTCCTCTGAAATAAAGTGCTGGGGCTGACACCCACAGCTTAGTCATAAAACACTGAGAACTAGTCAGATCTTTTCAGTTCTTTTTTCAAGATTGTTTCTCTCCAAACTTGACAGAATTATTATAGATGTGAAGGTTATTAAGATTGTTGAACTTCTACTCCTACAAAAATGTGTATGCCTACAAGCTTTTTAAAAATGCACGAAAGTACCCATCCTATGAGCTTTAGGTAATATATACATAAGACCCTTCATGGGTATATTGTTACTTGTTAATAATGAGCTAAGCATTTATTTTTCTTGTGTCCATCAGACAGTCGCTGGTTTTATAGCCGAGATGCTGTGGGTGTTGAAATAGGCTGGAAGTGGAAGCTGTTACAGTCTGAGCAGAGTTAAGACTTACTTGGGGCAATAAACTGATGCTGTTAATACTTAGAGGAACTGGCAAACAAAATGAATATAATTTCAGCATTATTTATCTTGACTGCATATCCCTACATCTCTACTTCCTCCTGCCTTTACCTGAAATGGGGTATCTCATTCCCAAGCCCTTGTCCAAATTTATTCTGACCCGTGAGAAGTTGGACTTTAGATTTCCTGAATTAATTGGCCGCACTGAAGGACTTTAATTCAGCTTAATTTTCCTCTGAATATTAAACACTTATGAGCAAATATAATCCCCCCTTGAAAGTATTTAACTAGAAGGTAATCACACAGGTTTTAAAGAATTTGAGGAGTGAGTGTGAAGAACAGTCATGTGTGAATTGTGCACAAAATGCATCCAAAAGGTAAAATCCCAAGCACCGTGAAAGATCCAAGTCCAATCATAGGTGGTGATTTTACCTGTTTAGTTCCAAGTATCATATGTAATCTTCCAGAAAATAAAAGCACCTGGTTAATTCAGACAAGCCAAAGACTTACATCATGAGACAGAATTTTCAAAGAAAACAGCTTTGATTTGCCATGTAGAAGGACTAAATAATTGTGAAAATATAGCAAATTTTGAATTGGTGTCATCAATTAGTGCATTACATGCTATCATATACCATTTATTTGCTACCAACATTTTAAGAAAAGAATGTCTACCTTAATGATAATTATTCATTGATTGCCATAGTCTGCTTAATGCTGGACTTAAGGCACCCTGTGATTGGCCCACTTTAGGAAACAAATTTTATTAATGTAAAAATCTGTTAGACCTGCTCAGTTTCTATTTGGTATCATATTCTAGCTTTTGTTTTCCTCGTAGCACATTCTGACCTGCATTTATTCATCCTGTTGCCTAAGCAACAAGCACCACGCTCCCATTAACTATGATGTAGTGTATGTCTTATTAGCTTTTTGGAAGAAGACAGAAGACATCAAGAGGATATAATTAATGTTGGCTAAATGTTGCAATCCATCTATGCATGTGCTTTGTTGTGGAAACACTCTCCGGAGCTAATAGTTCCTTTAATTGGTAGTCTATTGATGAATGAAGTTTAAAGTTTTCTTATAAATAACTTTTGAAGAAAGTATTTATTGAGATCTTGGTGTTGCTTTTTTGTTTGTTTTGGGTTTTTTTTTGTTAAATTTGTTCTATATACTCTTAAGCATGAACACAATATGTGGTTGATTTTATCTTATGGCAACCATTAACTTTAGTAAAGATTGCTTGATAATGATGTGGTTAGAAAAGAAGGAAGCTCCTCCCCACACACTTTTAGTTGTTTATCAGCTGCTGTCACTTATCCTTCAGCCTCTTAATACTTATCCTTGATTTTACAGATGCGAGAATATCTGTAAGATAAAATTATAAACTTTTGTTCTATGCATGCCTCCTGGTTTGTAGAACATTGTGGATACACATTAGATCCAAAGTGCCCTTAAGAATATAAAAGAAATAGAAATTGGTACAATTCAAGAAGAGCTACAGCAGGACCTGTAGCCAGCCAAGACTTTGGGAAAATCATGTGTGTTCTGACATCAGAAACCCTCTCACAAGTCATGTGTCTGAAGTCTTCCCTAGTCCTGCCCTGCCCGTTCTTCTAAAGACATACATCACATCTGTCTGCTTTCAGCAAAGAAAACAGAATCCACCTTCTTCTCAACAGCCCTGGGAATGTCGTGGGGGGTCCTCTGAACCTTAGGGATTTCTTCAGCCTTTGCAAGGTGTGTCAACATGACAAAGTGTTCATGCTGCTTCTTCTCCCAACAAGGAGTTTTGTGTTGTGTTATACAGAATGCTTTTGCCTGTGGTTTTTCTTACTGCATTTATTGCTACGACCATCTTTCTTGTTCTAAGTTAGATAACTGCTTCCTAAGTTGTCGAAGTCACAAACCCTCGATTCCTTTCCCTATGACTTTGCTCCTTCATGGCCTCTCCCTGCTCCTTAGGTAGCTGTCATTTCCTCTCTTTTCCCTATATTTTTTATTCTTGAAGGTCTCCCTGCACTGTTTACATAGCTTTCCTTAAGGACGATGGTCCATAGCAGTGTGTCTTCTCTAAACTCACATAGTGGCTATATTTTGTGGCCACCATTCCATCTCTGGAGTTAGAAATTAAGTTTCCACTTATGTATACCTCATCTTAGTTTCCACTTACGTATACCTCATCTTCCCACCTAGAAGAGAAATCAGCAAGTCTGTGTTGTGTGTTGATTTCCTTGCTTTTCTCACAGCTCCTAATGCAATGTCATATACATAGAAATCCACCAGCAAACACCATATACACAACAGGTTGACATGACTGGACTTCCAGTTTGTTTTTGTTTTTTTTATAAACTAAAAGTTATTTTTTTCCCATGAGAATATGAAGCACCAGTCATCCCATTCAGGAACTGAGTCCTCTGTAAATATTTTCCACATGCTAGAAAGTGTTAATTACTAGAGACTTAACGATGAACAAAACATGACCCTTGCCTCGGTTGGGGTATACTGTTGTCCTGAGTATTTCCTTGCAAATCCCACAAACGTTCCTTCCTTCACATAGTCCATAGTATGGGAATCTTGCCCCTCATTTTTCCAGTCAGCATCCCTGGGCAACTTTTTCCTACGTTAAGTTATAGTACATAATGGAAAGTGCAAAACATCTGTTGGAACACAAAGTCAAGGGAAATGGAGATAGTGATGACATCAAAAAACTTAGCAATACTACAGCAGATTTATGGGGTAAAGACCGGATTACAAAGCTTGTGTCCCTTGGAGGAGGACTGACTCATAGCCTCCCTACGTTCAGTAACCAACAGTTACAGTCACAGATTCTAAAGGGGAAAAGGATGAAATTATATACCATCTCATCCTCTTAGTGTCTCCTATTGACCTATCGCCTTGGGATTTGGCCATTTTAAAGTGTTCAGGATGAAGTCTTTATGGGGTCAATTATAAAAGTAATACTGGAAGCCCCGCACAAATTGGAAATTTTTGTGAACTTGAGTGGATAGCCTTCATAAAGGCTTACTGGAGGTCAGAGTGAGCAGTGCCCATTAGGCACTGAAGGAGACCCACAGAGCCCTTGAAAGGCGATCGATTTAAATATAACATTAAAGCAAGAGAAAGCTGATAAGTACATATTTAACTGAAACTTTTCTCCCAAGTTTGTGGTGCATATTGCATGCTAATGGACCTGCAGATCTCTCATACTTTACAGAACTTCACTGAAGTCAGAATGCTGTTCGCAGCTGGTCTGGCGAAATGACCTTTTATGTCTTAGCAAACCGCTATGAATGTAACAAGTTAAACCTGTGAAGCAGAAAAGTACATCGCCCCTGATGTTTCTTACTTAACTATTTCTCAGGCAAGTTTATGAAGTTTCTGTGATTTAAAGGAAATATAAGAGAAAAAAATGCCCATTTCCCCCACCTTCCTGTTTCTGAAGCAGCCTTAAGTTGAGTGGGTAGCCTTATATTGCAAAGGCAGCTATGATTGTCCCAACTTACTTAGGACAGTAGCGCTAAACTTGTTCTTACAAAAAGAT